CCTTAGGTTGACTGCAGTGGGCATGGAACAAAAGGAAGGGGGCATTTGCTGGTAATTTTAGAATGGGGGAGTTGGTTCAAAATTCAGCACATGACCCTGGTCACGCTATTCAAGACGGGGATGTAACTTATCACAAACAGAACAATCAAGTCAACATTGTCCTTAAACACTCCAAAACTGATCAAGAGGCGAGGGGGGCAATAATTTCACTAACAGCCACCTTTCAGGCAGTATTCCCAGTGCGTCTAGATTTACCATTTATGCACTAAAGACCTAGCATCTATTCAGCATTTTTTGGCCACATCTCAGGTAGTCCAGTGACAAGGTATCAGGTGTCATATGTTTTCAATTTGGCCTCAGAAAAATTTGGGGTTAAGCAAGCAAACTTGCAAAACTCACACCTTCCGCATAGGCTTAGCTTCAACTGCCTGGGCCAATGCGGCCATCTATAAAGACATTGCCATTAAGGGTAGAGGGAAATCTCAGTGTTTGTTCAAGTACATTAGGAGTTAACATGTTAATAACTCTAGCATCATACATCTCCCTATTTTTCCCTTGTCAAATCTTTGTAGATGTAAAGAGAATATGGATCATCGGGTCTTCCACTGTTTAACATGCATTATATTATGCCAGAAAATCAGTATTTGGCACCAACTTAGAATTAAACCGGCGCAATGCTGCCATATTCTAGCTTAGAACATTAGAACAAAATTAGAACATAACTCAAGGTAGAAAATGCTCCTCACATATTAGTTACTCATCGCGGGGGAAATAACATAGTATAGTAAGAGGTAAGTCTACTGATTTACTTTTCAGAATAAAAGAAGTATTACAAAAAATTAGTTAATTTCTACCATCAACGTGATTAATATGGTCACAAATACTGCCACGTTTTTATTGGAGGGGGTATTAACCGGTCTGCTATGGGGAGAATAAGAGTAAGAGGAAATATAGCCATGTGGCTATCCACTTTTTAAGGTCTTGGGGTAAGTACATCAGTTATCCAGATTTACATAGGGTCAACACTGGCATATTTTCTAAAGATAACGTTCACCTTTCTGAGATGGGTAATAACTTGTTTTTGTATCGATTGTAATAGGCTTTGCAAGTCTTCTTGATTAACAACTCAGTTCACGTGTCACCAAGAGATGGGAATAATGGACCATAGCTGCGCCATAACTAAGATTTTAGTCATGGTTACTATTTCATTTACTGTCCATAGACCATATGTATTTGTATCGATCAACGTGCACCAAGTCAATTTTACTCTTTCCCATAGACTGTTGAGGGTCTATGTATTTGTATTGACATAAAGTCTTTATTTTCTTGGTCATTTTACTTTACCAAGTATTGATTATTGTCATAAATTACACTATTGGGGGACATAAACATGAGATAGGTAATTATCAATTTCAATATCGACCCCCTTTTCTGTCCATAGACTGTTAAGGTCTATGAATTTGCATTGACATAAAGTCTTTATTTTCTTTGTCATTTCATTTTACAAAGTATTTATTATTATCAAAAATTACACTATTGGAAGACATAAACGTGAGTTAGGTAATTATCAATTTTGATATCGATCCCCTTTTTGCCCATAGACTATCGATGGTCTATGTACTTGCATTTACATAAAGTCTTTATGTTCTTGATCATATCATTTTTCCAAGTATCGATTATTGTCATAAATTACACTATTGGAGGACATTAACTTGAGTTAGGTAATTATAAATTTTAATATCGATCCTTTTTTTTTCCTCCCGACTGCCCTACTGGCGGCGCAGCCAATGCTAAAAGCATAGGCTCGTGGCGGATATTTGTTTCACCAGTAGTGCCTATCTATATACTTACTATATGACTTGGTGCACAATTGATTGAATTTTGTGATTATTGTCCAAGCAGGCGAGCATATGTTCCCAGGGCTCACCGTTCATGCTTGTTTATTTGTGGGGATGACAAATCAAGGCAAGAATTGAGGCATGGCTCCCTTATTTGTTTATTAGTGGAGATGCCAAATCAAGGCAAGAGTTGATGCCTTTTATTTGTTTAATGCAGCAGTGGCCTATATCGCCAAATAAATATAAATAATTAAATAAAAGTATTTTGTTATCTTTAGTATAAAGGCCCAATGTAAGGGCATCTTTTGATAATGTGATTTAACCACTCAAGGTTAAATTCGATTATCAAAGTGTCTTTAAGCTTTCTAGTACTTCAGCTTTTGAGGTATCATTCCGGTCCTGACCTTGCATTAGTGCCATCCTTTTCTCGGTGATTTAGGGCTATTAGAAGAACCCAGGCACCAAAATCAGTGACGTCGAGCGCAAAAATCAAATTTCTGCAAAATTTCAACCCCAACCCCTAACCAAGCCCCTTAATAAAAGTAATATGTGAACGAAAATTATCTGCTGCTTTGTCGTGATTTGTTCTGTTTTCTTTTTCAGATAATATAAAGTCTTAATCCATACCCACAGCAAGGACTTGTCCAAATCGCCATCGCTGAAATCACATCCTACCTGGAGGAACATATTGCCCAAGCGGATATTTGTTTCACCAGTAGTGCCTAACTATATACTTAATATATGACCTGGCGCACAATTGATTGCATTTTGCAATTATTGTCTAAGCAGGCGAGCATCTGTTCCCAGGGCTCACCATTCATGCTTGTTTATTTGTGGAGATGCCAAATCAAGGCAAGAATTGATGCCTGGCTCCCTTATTTGTTTATAAGTGGGGATGCCAAATCAAGGCAAGAATTGATGCCTGGCTCCCTTATTTGTTTAATGCAGCCGTTGCCTATATCGCCAAATAGATATAAATAATTAAATAAAAGTATTTTGTTATCTTAAGTATTAAGGCCCAAGGTAAGGGCATCTTTTGATAATTGATAATACATCGCAGAAAACATTGCTTAAAACCGAATGTTTTATTATCATTTAAATGATCGTATAAATTACTGTTACTCGCACTGTTAAATTATTCGCACTCTATAGTTCTAAACTTAAGCCTATTTTTTTTTTTTTGGGGGGGGGGGGAATATATATAATTTTATATACATAAATATATTTGTTATACCTCTACTGTAATTACACTATATATAACTAATATCACCAAACTCTCTATTTCCCCGTGAAGAGACAATATCCCTCATCTGAGGAGCGTTCAAATAATCTCGAGTCTTTGATGTTATTAGCAAGGTACAGTAACTATGACTTTAAAACAATTCGATATGTGATGTCAAAATCATACTTGATTTCTAGCAAAATAAAGAAAACGTTAATTCTTCGAAATGTCAGTGAAATTACTTTTAAAAGATAATTCAAGTGTTTTAGGACACGATGTATTATTTATCATACAATCTGTTTAACCTCTTGCATTCGTAATTATGCCTCTGTAGTGTTTATTTTTTAAAATGTCGGAACATCTGGTAAAAAAAATTAAATCACCTATGATTATTTTGGTATAATAAAACAGTTATGGAATGTGAACTCGAAAAACAGCAAATTTATGGTTTCCCTCGGTAGGAAACTATTTCCCTTTGCGGCTTCGCCGCCTCGGGAAATAGTTTCCTTTCTAAGGGAACCACAAATTTGCTATTTCCCTCGTACCCATTCCATAACTGTATAGTATGGAACACAAGAACAATGGGCAGACAAAGTTAAAAACCGTTTGTGGAATAAGGAAATATGAAAGTCTAGAATCGCCGTCAAATATTTCACAAACCTTGTAAACTAGTGAATAATTTTAGTATTTCCCAAATGATGTCGAATTCAGTTACTGATTTCGTAAATAAAAAGGCCCGTAACTCTAAAAATCAAGCATTAAACATTAAGGGGGGGGGGGGGGTAAATTCACTTGATATCAACTTCTGTACGCAAATTTTCAAACTTTTGTTTAAGTTAAAAGCATAAAATTGAATGATTATGAATTGGAAATATTTATAAAACCCTAGAACACGCACAGAAATAGAACCTTTTTATAAAAATAAGATCCCTTGGTTAGTTTTGGATAAATACGAATCGTTTTCTAAAATGCGTCTTTTTATTCATTTAAGTCCAACTGGTTAGATAAAAGAGGGTGCATTTTTTTAATACGTGTTTTTCCTTGAAATAAATATCTATAAATTCATCTTAGTCTAACAACCCCCCCCCCCCCCCCTCAAAAAAAAAAAAAAAAAAAAAACACACATGCACACACACCCTACTCAAGTGATAGATATTCAATGTCTACTTTAATACACTTAATGAGTAAAATCACTTATTAGTATTAATCAAATTATTTAGTTAAATTATTGAGAAGTTTGGAAAATAAACAACATATTCTGGATTAGATAAACAATAAGCAGTATGCATGTTTATCTAAGTAATATTGTTAAGAAGGCTTAAATAGTTTAGAATTTTGTACATGTAGGTTTGCAAGAGGTTGATTGTATCTTCATGAAAAAAATTAATAATAATATTCTACTGGAATAGTAGAATTACAATTATCAATTTTAAAAAAGATATGCAATACGTAGAGGTATATTCGTTTAATTACGCTTTTGACACGTTCCCTCCCCTGTAAAGTCCGTAGTCCGTAGTACGCTGTCAGGTGTACGTGATTCCGAAAATGTTCATTACATATATCAACCCTCCACAGTTTATAAAACAAAAGTTACACTGCATTTTATAACAGACTGTTACATGATATGCTTGTTTATTGCACATAGAAAGCGTAAACACATTCCAAAATGTAAGCTCCCAAGTGACCAATATATAGGATTCTCTGATTTTTTCACAAAATATGACACAAACATACCAAAACTTATTTTTTTTATTCCAGGGATCAGTCCTTAATGTCAGTCTAGTAATATTAATCTTTTTTTCTTCAGTACTTTTAAAGAAATGGGTTAAAATAGAATCCATAGGTGTTTTGTCCTACCTTAAGTAACACGTTTTAATTTTGTTTTCAGACATGTTTTCCAAAATAGGCATAATTTTAGAGCATTGAATATAGCTACTTACCTCATGATACGATTTTCTTGTAATAAGTCACTACAAATACAGTCCCAATGCCATACTAGGAATAAAAACGAATGGGTAGATATATACATCTCACCAAACTGCCCTTTAAAGCTTAAGAGGAAGGACTGTACAAATTTAGGAAAGAAACTTCTTTCATCAGAAAAAAACCCAAACCAGGTTTAACTTTCGGTTTAAATCTATGGTTCACTAATACTAACATGAGTGACAAGTATTAGAATAACCTTGATTTTTTTTCTGCGCAGTCTCTAGGACAATTTTGTTTTCAGTATAGATGTTGATTTATTAGTTAAATTAAGGATATAAACCATAGCATTGGTAAGTTAGAAATTCGATTTATGATTCTACAGTATAAAAAGAGATATGATTGGCCCCATGAGAAAAGGTCCTTATTGCAATTTTTACATGTTTTGAGGTTTTTATGGATTCTAATAAAGCAAGGTTAGAAGTTACTGAATATGAATTTTTGTGGCCCTACGACAACTCTAAAAATGTTTTTTCTTCATTTATATTGTTGATACTTTAACAGATAAATAATGACGTCATTTTACTTTCGCCCAACGTCAAACGTCAAGTTTTCAGAGTGAACACGATTTTGAATTTTCATGGTAACGTTACTATGATAAGGATGTATATTAATGAGTATTTCCAGAATTTTTTTTTTTACTTGATAAATTTTCTATTTTAATAATTGTATAATACCAATAATAATTTAATAGTAATAGATGTATGTATCATCCATCAATGAAAGTAACTGTTTGTTTTACATTTCGCTGTGCTGTGAGAAGCAAAGAACTTTTGTTTACTTTCACAATACTGAAATATTCATTTTATGTAAAGAATTGTTTGAGAAGCTTACAGAATTCATTCGAAAATCATGACCCTCGACAGGTCAAGGTGTCAACTTTTTATTTGAATACAGTATAACGAGATAAAGCTTTTTAAATATGTGAAAGTTAAACAAAAATTTCAAAAAAGTCCTCGGGAACAACAATGAACAAGATGCTTCTGGGTTGTAAAAATTTGTTTATTCGTGTGTTTTTTTTTTCTCTAAATATAAAGACGGAAAAAATGTGAAATGTAATTTATTATTGTATACACTGTACACCAATTTAAGTTTTTTTTAATTTTTTAAGACTCAATAGTTTTAGAAGAACACATATTCCAAATCTATATACACATTGTACATATACAAATACTCAGTATCTAATTATTTCTTAAAACAATTTTTGCCTATATAATTTCATTTAATAAAACCATTTTATCCTAATATAAAATGAAATCCATTTGTACTTTTTTTAATTGTAATATCAAATAGAATACACATGTAACAGTATTCCATTAAATTAAGGAAAAACTGTCTAATTATTTTTGTTGTTTTTTTTCATGATATGATCAATCGAGTGGTTTGCGTGATAGGTGCTACAAGTCCCGCTTCTGTCACTATTTGTCCCACTCCGTACATATTCTTTTAAACCGCACCTATCAATGAACCAGTGGATTTATGTAGAAATGAATTATTTTTACTATTTGTAATTTTATCTCGAACAAAGACATTGAAAATGTAAATATTAAATCATAAACAAGGGATACTGTAAGCACTGAGCTTATTAACCCCCGCCTCCCATACCTTTATAATGGCAAAATCCATGTTTTTTTTATCTCTTGGAAACACGAAATAAGCTTCAGTATCATAATACAAAATAAAATAGGAGGTGCACAGTGACATTATGTATATTAAAGAATCAGTGAAAGTACCATTAATTTTTTCTTGCGGATGAGAGAGGGGTACCCTTCAATATTTTAGAAAGAATGGCATTGTTCATTTTTTTGTTATGCGAAATCCGAAATATATGACCGTTCAAAAAGTAAAATAGGAGGTGCATAAGGGCACTATATAACGAAGAATCTGTGAACTATAAGTTTCAATAAAATTCAAACCTTGGTATAAGAGGAGTTGCGGATAAAAGAAGGGTATTCCGAAGCGTAAAAGACAGATCACTATATACCCTCCATTTTTTCAAGCGGGAGTATAATAATTATGAATTCCTTGTTGTTCTAGATCATATAGGTCAATTAAAAGAATTTTTCCGGGAGGGGTCAAAAAATTAATTGGAAATTTGATATTCATACCATCCATGCGTGGATCTAGAGGGATTTGGGGGGGGTCTGCGCTTCTGCGCACAGATTGTGCAGAATTATTTTTTTTTTACTTAACCAAATAAAAATCTCCCTTAATTAGAATAGGCTTAGCTCTCTTCGAAAGCACGGATCTATGTGATATTGGTATAAAAAGTCACTGGCCGATATGAAGTAAAAAGAAGCCGACGACTAACCCCACCCCCTCCACACACACGCACACACCCACCCTTACACATACTATTTAGTTTTTTTCTTTTCGAAATGAGTTTATTTTTTTTATTTTATTTATTCCTTTATCCGTTTAATTTTATTTTTGCTTGTCAAGAAATTACTAGTTGGATTTTTTTTTTACGAGATGGTGTTATGTGATGGCGTGTGTAGAATTCTAACCATTGTTATTGTTTTCTAATGTAATGTTTATCACAGGATTTTTTTTACCTATATTTAAATTCATAAAATATTATTTCGCTTACATTTTTTCACGGCAATTTGGGTAATTATATTATACAAACCAATAACTGATGAATATAGTTTCAAAAATAAAACGAGTTATAGTCTGGTCCTGATTTTTAAAAAGAAGGCTAGAAATAACTTCTAACGGCAAATAATTATTATTTGGTCCAGCATAGTTTTTTTAACCTATTTCGAGTATGCTGAATCCGAAAAAATATGCTGGCTTTCATAAAAATGGCGTTAAAGAGGTCAAAATGGCGATTCAAAATGGCGGATATCCAATTTTTCTAATTTTCTCTTAATGTCGTTCAAAATGGAGAAGTAATAAATGAATATCTCACTGAGTGTAATAAAACTATAAAAAGTATAATAGGATGCTAACATTATTAGTTTAACTCAGAAAATTTAGTCGTTTCTACACTCAATTCGATTTTTTTCTGATTTTTTTTTTTTTTGTCTGTTGTTTCTATATTATCCTTTGTTCAGGATTTTACATTTGCAAATATCCATACACTGCAGATTTGTATTTTTCCCTCTACATTTCACTATTCTACAATTGAATGATAGTGCAGCTGTAAGTTAAAAGTCTAAATGACGATTTAAAATGGCGGATACTCATCTTTATCTTCAAATTATTTAATTCTTAATGTCGTTTATATATGAGAAAAGATTTGTTAATATCTTACTGAGCGTAGTATTACTATGTAAAAATGACAATAGAACACTATTTTGATCACTTTAAATCGGAAAATTTAGTTTGAATTTGAAATGTGTTAAATAGCTCAAAATGGCTATTAAAATGACGTCTTATACTTTCGAATTTCGTAAAATACCCAAACTGCTTAATTCTGGTTCGTTTTGCAGAGAATAAATTACAGTTTGTTTTTCTGTTCATGAAATAATGTTCAAATATGCAAAGAAAGTTGGAGGATATTTTTGCTAATGACTATTGATTTTTATAATACGGATTTTTGTTTAATTACTTCTATTGTTAAGATAAATTTTTGACGACAATTCCGAAGACATTTTACCTTTTACCTGTCTCACCATGATTCTTCATATAAAAAGTTAATAATATCATACAATAATTGCTGTTTTGAGGACAATATGTAAATAAAGCTACCCCAAGAGCAGTATCCCCCGAGCATTAAGGCGAGTTGTTGGGAATTTTTGATATATTTTAAGTCCAGTGTAGAAAAAAAATCTTTATTTTCATGTGGAAGGTCTAGTGTAACATAAATTGGTATGATTTTTAAAATGATTGACCACGACCAATTATAGGGCTGGTAATTGTTACATCATATAAATCTGAATATACCATAATATCCAAATATAAATATTTTTATTAAGAATTATCAGTATAATATAGTAAATATACATAAACCATAAATTTTCCTGATTGTCCAGCTCTGATTCTGTGTCCCTACATTTGCGTTTTGTTATTCTCAGTCAAAAATTCAACTGCATTTCATGCTGTGAACGGATAATTTTGTACTGAACAGTGTATGTAAATTTAAAAATTTTGAAATTTACAAAATCTGAAAGAAGAAATTGTTTGTGTTCAATCTCTCCCCCCCCCCCCCCCGATTCTTGATACAACCTTACACTATACTATCAAAGAAGTGTGGATCAAGTTTCCTTGTAAACTTCTTGAAGTGTTCAAGAAAATTTTGTTCTCAAGAGAAGTGTTGACTAGATCGAAATCAGAAATGGCTTAGGCCTATTGGTACGAAAGCTTGTAAGTGATAGGAATCACGAGGAATCTGCAGGCGCTCTTAAATTGCATAATGTTACAACTTTTCTCACCAAAATATGCACAGAATGCGATTTCAGATGATCAAGTTTTAGAATTTTCTTGCTAATAGAATAATCTTTTTACCCTAAATGACAACAAATCTATACGAGGTCACATGGGAGACCGGGGTATCATTTAGTGAGCTAATTGCTCACAGTACCTCTAGTTCATTTTGCATAAGATTTTGAATAAAAAAATAGACTTTTAACATTTGAACATAAATGTGTTGTTCCTTGAGTGTTGGTTGATTGATTGTATATTGTTTAATGCCGAGTCGGCAATTTTTTGGCCATGTTTCGGCGGACTATCAGTTTAATTAATCGGTTTTTGAAGGATTTTGGTTTCTCTGGCGGCCCCCAGTGAGCTAACTCTCTTTCGAACTCCAGAGAAACGATCTTTAACATGCCAAGGGGGTTGTCATCCTTGACACGGGTCACCATTTTACTTGAGTGTTGAAAATACCAAAATACCGAAGACAGGCTGAAACATATACCAAATAAAGCTGGAATAGAAGATGTTAGGGGATAGTATACAGTTCTTATAGGTGCTAAAAAGCTAGAACAAAGTGTTCAATGAAATCGACAAGAATTTCTTCATTTGTATTTGATGGTGTCCCGAGGGATGTTGAGGTAGAAGTGCGAGTTGATAATGATAGGATTCGGGAGTGATTTTAGGTGGACGGGGGCTCAAAGGCTTTGGAACACGCACGGTCAAATACGAAGGGGGGAAATTTGAAAACTCTTAGGTCGAGTTTGTTTTAACTATTTCCAGAAAAAATTGAATCGTTTCAAGTATTTTTTGTTCATACTTAATGGACTTAACAATATACTATATATTCTATATATATAAAAAACAAACTGTAATTTATTTTCTGCAAAACGAACCAGAATTAAGCAGTTTCTACGAAATTCAAGTGTATCAGACGTGACTAAATTTTCCGATTTAAAGTGATCAAATTAGTGTTCTGTTGGCATTTTACATAGTTGTACTACGCTCAGTAAGATGATCACAAATCCTTTCTCCTATGTAAACGGCATTTAGAAATAATTTTTTAAAAAGATAAATATCCGCCATTTTGAATCGCCATTTTGACTTTTAACTTACAGGTGCGCCATCATTCATTAGTAGAATAGTGAGATGTAGAGAAAAAATACAAATCTGCAGTGTATGGATATTTTCAAATGTAATATCCTGAACAAAGCAGAATAAAGAACAATAGACAAAAAAATCAGAGAAAATTCGAATTAAGTGTAGAAACGACTAAATTTTCTGAGTTAAACTAATAATGTTAGCATTCTATTATCATTTTTAATTTGTATTACACTCAGTGAGATATTCACACATTATTTCTCCTTTTTGAACGATATTAAGAGAAAATTAGAAAAATTGGATGTCCGCCATTTTGAATTGCCATTTTGACCTCTTTACGCCATTTTCATGAAGGCCAGCATATTTTTTCGGATTCAGCATACTCGAAATAGGTTAAATAAGTATGCTGGACCAAATAATAATTATTTGCCGTCAGAAGTATTTGCAAATCTGCAGATTAAGCCAAACTTTTTGAACAAAAGTTTTTAACATTCCTTAAAATAAATATATATAGTCAAACCAATAGAGATTTTTTTTTTCATTTTCCGATATTCTCTTGCTTTGAAAATTCGATTTTTCATTGAAATTTCATTTCATTATCCAAAAAATCGATTAAATATAATCTCTCTCTCTCTCTCTCTCTCTCTCTCTCTCTCTCTCTCTCTCTCTCTCTCTCTCTCTCTCTCTCTCTCTCTCTTATCAAATAACTACATGAATATAAGAATGATCTATCTTTCGTTTAAAACAATTTTATTTCCAAAGGTAGTTTTTGCTTGTTAATATTAATTGAAAGAAACAACAACAAAAATAAGGTTGAACAACATTTTTCAACTTTTTTCATCTAATTTATGAGCATCATTATTGAAAAAAATAATTAAAATTAAATTCAGATAAATTCATGTCAAAATAAGTAGATAAGCATGAATATAACATATTTCGTAAATTGAAAGTTTGATTCAATTTTGCATCTATTTCTGTTCTATATTGTTTTAAAATACATGTATGTAGTTTCCGTATTGTGAAACACTTTTTTTTTTCAAATACATGGTAAAACGTTTGAACTGCTAATAAATAACATGTTTAAAAAATATTTTTTATACTATGGGAGCAAATTTCAATTAAGATTGTGAGTTGAAAACTAAAAAAAATTAAATTTAAATGAATGACCCTCTCTGGTACCCCTTTAGTATTTCGATCGATTGTCAGAGTTACCGCTCCTGTTTTTATTAACAAATTTTCGCCTCTGTAATTCCATTATTTTGCAAGATTTGGGAAACTTATAAGGATACTTTTCGTCTCTCTAGGAGGAAATGTGTTTAGGTTTCAAATTCTTTTAGCATTAAAGTATTTTACAACAAAAATATGGGAGAACATGCACCGATTATTCAATGTTTACATGATTGATGTAAATACTGAGAATGCTAGGGCTGATCTCATATACAGAAACGATTTCCTTTCCAATATTTTGATAGAATACCCGTGCCTTATACATTACTTCAATTTTGTCTATACCAGTAAATCAAATATTTGCATTTTTTTACCCATATTAATTTTTTTAGAAAATAACTTGTCTATATAAGCGCCGTCTATACATGCATGCATAGGAAATCAATAAATCAGAGACATTTACTTCAGAAATAAGGTATCATTTTTAAACATCTATCGGGATATAAATACGGGTGTACGAGATTAAATTCCATAAAGCCTGAAGGGCTTTATGATGAATTTGATCTCGTGACCGACCCGTATTATAGCCCGATAGATGTTTTAAAATGATACCTTATTTCTTAAATATTTACATTTGTGACTTATTCGTATTTTATATTTACCTGATTGTGACTTGTAACGTGTGAAATGCATTATTTTTCAAACCCAACGGCATGTATGTTATCCACTGAACGCGCATCGACCCTTTATGACGTCACTGAGAAATTACGTCGAACGATTATCTATACGCACATCTATGACCTCTTGACCCCCTACCTGTATTTATACAGTTATAGATACGCATTGCTTTCAGTAGTGTTATATAAAGGAAAACATTTGCAAATGTAAATATATGTATATATAGCGATATAGCAAGATCGATGTAGAGAAACGGGTCTCAAATTGTAAATAGGCCTTCATTTAAATTAATACCAGTGGCCCGGAATAGAGTATAAAATTCAGAATTAAAAATAAAAAAACTATTTTTTTGTTATACATGTTATATACAATGGTCAAGAACCACAAAAAAAACTGACGTGTCAAAGCGTAAACACGTGTATATAAAAAAAAATCTGCGACGACGCTCACCGTCTGCAACGTCATATCTTTATGACGTTATTTCTCTGTTCTAGAAAAATTGCCATAAGGACCTTTTGTCGTGGTGGCAATCATATAAGATATGATTTATTAACATTCGAAGATACGGTTGAATATATATTTTTGAAATGAAATGGCACAGACATAAAAAAAATAAATTCGCATTACAACTATCTGCTTCAAAAATAATCTATAAACCGTTATATCCACACTTTTATAAGTTGTTTTTATAATGCTGACAGACGTTTTTGATACTATATGTTAGTTCATTATTTATTAACTGAATTGACGGCGGATTGTCCTTTATTTCCTGATCATGACAGAGAGCATGCGGCGGGTACGACCGGTCGTTGAGGGATACTTACTCACCAATCGCACTTGTTCTATCTCTGATATATTTTGGAGGGCCTCTACTCCTATTCTGTATTGTTTTATGAACTTTTGATCTTTTAATTTATTCCTTATTTCAATATGTTTCATTCTATGGCTGTGTTTTCTCAAGTTTACTTTTTACTTTGTCGCTTTGGTTTTGATAGTTTTTCTCTGTGGGGCAAACAACGGAAATTAACAAGTTTCGAGTAAAAAAAATATTATTTTTAAATCTATGCGTGTCGTGTATGGTAGTTTTTTTTTGGCTTAAGTGTGAAAAAATAGTGTATGTCTGAGAAACTGGCTGGAATATATTTCAAAGACATGTCTTTAATTTATCTTTAATAAGGAAAGAAACAAATGAGTCCATGGCTGCTCATTTCCATGCAGGCGTACACACAATAGATGATTTTTATTTACACATTTGTGTAATACTGAGTTATTTGTTTTATAGATATATATTTACATATGCTTTAAAATCATCTCTCACATATACCTCACCTTGTATGTGTAGTACTAGTATTTTAAATAGTTAACTATTATTATCATTATATTATAGTAACTCAAGTAAAATATTGCCTTTTGCATTTATTTTATATACTTTCAACTTATTTTTTCCTCCTTAGCATATAAGTGAATATATTTGAATTATGGGCTTTTGGGATTGGTTGAGGAGCTTATTTGGAAAGAAAGGTAAAACTGGACTAAGATAGCCTAACACTGTTTGGAGCTATGTTATTCCTTGTTTTTATTTTTATTAGATTGTATCCGATCTTTACAATAAATTACAATACACACATCTTATTGTTAAATACTTTGCTTCAAATATAATGTTGTATAATTTTGACTCAATACAGACGAACCAGAAGGTCAAATAAAGGAACTCAAAGACAAGATTTCACGCCTAGATGGTTAGTAGATTTTTTAAACGTTAATGTTTTTTAATGTTTTTTTTAATCTAATTTCCTTTCTTATCAAACCATATATATACTACACAATTTGTATATAATTTAGATCTACATCAGAAATCAAATATTTTCAAAAGGTAAAATTTTCGTGGTTTCAAGAAGAAATTAAATCCCCACAAGCTTTGTATTTGATTTCACTGTGTATAATTTATTTTTTCTGTTTTTGAAGTTGTTGTAATTACTTACTATTTTTCTAAATTATTTTACATAAACATTGTATTTTATATATTGTATAGTTTTTTTTCGACAGTAGTTATTAGTACTAGGTATTTTTAAACATCTATATAAATATAAATTATTTGCACTGTTAATCTTGCTAGATATACTAGTATTCATTTATCGATACAGTTCCATGCACATATTAGCTCATGTAGTCCTCGCACAATGTCACTTTGTATCAATACATCGTTGCTTAAGGATGCAACAATATATATTTGAAAACTGATTGTGTAACTAAATTTAATTTCAACTCAAAATCTCAAAACATAATTTATACATAACAATTGGTAATTCTTTGATATGCTTGTAGCTGAAAGCTTTTGACAGTTCCAACACGTTTTTATTGTTTCTTCTCAAATGTACATTTATCTGTCTTTGCATCCATTCTTTTTAAAAAAGTCTTTTTTCTTGACAAAACACAGAAACATTGTAACTACTGTATTTACTGTACATTAAATACACAACTAATGATATCAGTATTTCTCACCAGTTCAACTCCTTTCTGTGTTAAATGCTTGTACTTTCTGAAATAAAGCATCTGAAATTGGAACTGCATGATTTAAAGTTCAAACTGTAAATAAAATATAAATATGTTCCTTTCATTAGTAAAAATTAACTTATTTAAGTACTACATAATACGACACTTCCTTTCTTAATCCATCTTGGTATGATTTCTTTATGCATCCATTGTCCTTTTTCATGCTATTTTTGACAAAATCAAGACTAATTTAATTGGAAAATCAGCAATAATATCAAAAAAAGCTTGATTAACTTAAATTGTATTTTCCGATGCAATTTAGTTTTGTTCTTAAACTAATATTTATTTTAAATTTGAATACCTGGAATAAGTTATTAACTAGCTACATGTACATTGTAAAAAGCCCATAAAAGACATACATTTGCAGGTTAATATTTATACAACATGTCACATTGTACATACTTCTAAAAATTCAATAGCAAAAATAAAACAAAAAGAAGTGTGATATCATATTTTATTTATTTATGCACCAATTCACATCAAATGCATGATAAAACTTCAAATCAAAAATATTCACTTGCCAAAAAATATTCGAAATCTGAAGGAAGTTGTCATTTCCACAGTTTTATTTTTCTTTCTTTATTGCGTATTAAAAACGATATACATGGTAGAAACAGCCACATAAATATCGAGATAAAGAAAACAAATGTTCACCTGTATTATACCTCTTAGGAACTGGTTTTATTGAGATATGTTTACGATAATTTTAATTTTTTCACAGACCATCTTTTAATAGTCTTAATTGCAAAGTTTGCAAGGATAATATTTTGTTCCACATATTTTGCATTTTACTGTTTTTACTTTGAAAAGGGTAAAGTTAAAACAAAAAGCAAAAGAAACATTGACTACTTTTTGATCAAAATATCACGCAGATTTAATAATAAAAAAAAATTAATAAATTGTTCACGTGTTCTTTAAAAAATAATTGCAATGTTCTACATGTATATAAATTATTTCAAGATACTCTTACTCTGAAAGCATTAAGGTCAAGATCTAGTAAATGAAAGGTGCCTACAGATTTATCAATCTTGAGAAATAAATTCCTTTATTGATGCTTTACAACTTTAGCATGGTCAAATAAGGTGTTTCGGGGCCTAATTTATAGGTTAACAAAATGAAAATCTGTATTTTATACTGTCATGATAATTATATAATTTAATTATTTTTATACAAATATTTCAGACGAGCTGGAGAACGTGACACAAGAAAGAGGTATTTAAATACTAAAAAAAAATTCTACAATTCTTCTCGACCCACTGCTGCTATTGTCATTTGATATTATGTATTTTTGAGTCAATTTATATACATTTAGATCTAATGGTACAAAAGAAACTTTTTTTTATATTCACAATACAAGGTTGATCTAAAATCCGTGGAAATTCTTCATATTTTATTTATTTATTGATGGAAGGGATTGCACATTACAAATGAGAATATTAAACACTAGCTGCAATATTGTAGCACTCACCATTTTTTCTTATTTTATGTTTTATTTAGAGGGCTACAATTCTGTAGCATCTATTTTTTTTATATTTACATTTACTTTTTTTGACCCTAACGAAAAGAATAATAAAAAAACGAGTGATAAATACATATAACACACAAGACCAAATCACCAAAGTCTGTCTGGCGTATGAATACAGGGACTACGCCGTTACAGTTTAAACAAAGCAAACAATTCATGTGTTGTACGATGCATTTGTATTTCTTTGTTACAAAAATATAGTCTATCATTATAGAATGAAAAATTAAATAAAATTTTAATTATTGTAATCTGTTTTACCGTGCACAATTTTCGTTTCCGGATCAAGCTGTTCCAAAGGCTGTTCTATCATGAAGGATAAGGCGGGAATTTTTAACAGAAAAATCAAAGTTGCGGAAAATACTGGGGATAAAAAAATGAAAATATAATCATTGAATTATATTTTTTTTTTCAAAGATACAGCCGCATAACTGCAATGGTGAGTGCAAACAAATTTCCATACATGTATCGCGCTAATGCGGGTTACTCAATTTGTTTGCACTCACCATTGCAGTTATGAGACTGCATCTTTGAAGAATTGATAAATTCCTTAATTAAATAGGGGCGACTGCAGGCAAAATAAATTGTTTTTACATTCAACTTACCTCTAATAAGTCGAAATGTTTATTCACTGTCAACAACATGTAAGATATCTCTGCATGTTTCGCAATTGTTCTACTCAGCAGCCATGACAGTTCACATTCAAGTATTACAATTGATTGACCTTTCATAAGCCTTTGTGTGAGAGTTTTACTGATTTAAGTGTATTAATTTATTTTTTAGTTCATAATGTATTGTTTATCCTTACATTTTTAATTAGAAATCGTCAAGTTTCGGTAAAGTTATAAGTTTTGTTAAAATTTTGGGAACACTCTGACTTAAACGTGAATCCATCTTATAGAGTCTGGAGAAAAATGTTTTAAGCAAATGGTGTGGAAAAAATAAGGACAAATAGAACTTTTATGAGGGTGATAAAAGGTGTGGCCGCTTTTTGGAGAACCATTTTTTTCCTACGTAGACAAATTGAGCGTGCTTCTGAAGTGGAAACACAATATTGAAAGATATTGTCATTATGAGTATTTTTTTAAATATAAGTGTAATGATATGAAAATATGTCAGTTCGAGAAAAACTGTCTTTTCTTTAAAATTGCGAAAAGGCAGGATTCTGTAGGATTACTTAGTCGAATTGGACGTGAAGGTGAGACGCACCTGTAACATGTATGTACCATACTTAACTTGACGCTACGTCGAAGCCTTCCCAGGCTTTTACATTTTCAGAAAGCTCGTGAAACCTGATAGGTAATTTGTGTTGCATGCTGATTTTATATTATAAATATGTATCCCATCCTTTTTATGACAGGCATATCATTGCCTGCTTTATGTTATATTTAATTTTAGAGGGTTAGATTGCATTATATGATACCTAAGATTTTTGTATTCTTTCGAAGTTTTTTTTTTTTCAGGTTTTGTCTACGCCCACCTCCTCCCCCCTTATAATATGTTTATATTTTTGTTTTGCGTCATTTCTTTTATAAATGACATTTTTTTTTCACTTTCAATTCTCTGTTATTTAAGTAATGTTTTTAAGTTTTTTGTAGGTTATTGGTATGTGAACCACCCAGACTTTTCACGTAGGCATATTTCATGAATAGCGCTTCATGAAAAATATGCCTACGTGCAAGTCTGTGTGATTCACACACCAATGATTCACACTGAACTTAAAACATTCCTTATATTTACATTTTACATGTTTGGAAGCAACTAAAATATACTCAATATTTGAATTTCTCGCTGCCCTATATCATTGCATTTTACTAACGTCGCAGCAGCCTCATTGTGAGGTCAGTCACGTTAACGCATGTTTTTCCATGTATAGGCCTATTTCTACGCGTGAGTATAAACGAAAATGGTTTTAAAATCAATTTCACAGTTGGCTTACTAGAAAAAGATAGCAAATGTAATATTTTCTTTTTAATCCATCAAAAACTAGCTCAGTTGACTTGGCTTCCATTTATAACACTGGAACATAAATAAGTTGTTATAATTATTAACAATAATAATATCCTTTATGTGACAGAGTCAAAGGAACTGTAATTGATTTATGAGAAGGATATGGAGATGATGAACAGTATTCGATCTCGCCGTCCATTAAACAATATACAAAATAAAAGGAGAGCAAACACGGACCTCCGAAACATCAGAAGTGGGATCAGGTGCCATGGAGGAGTGAGCATCACCTGCAGACTCCGCCGTGTGCTGGATGTATTGATCAGGAAATAACGAAAAAAATCCGTCGTCAATTCAGTGTATAAATAATGGACTAACAATTGGAATGAAAAAAGTCAGTCAGCATTTGACTCAATGATACATTGTATTTGCTGACAAGGTCATTGTATCGAACTTAGAATTTACGAAATGATGACTTTAAACTTGTGTAATTTATTTCTGATTTGACATGTTTTTGTTTGGTAATTGTTGTGAAGTTGTTTGGTGTTTAAAAACTATTTAGATCGTCGTGAATTGCCTATTTATAATTTGTTACACAATTGTCTTAATTTACAGCCAATCAGCGTGGCTTCTCCCAATCATGTGATCATTGTTTTTATTTACTAAAGGAGAAAGCCACGCAAATTTGCAAGGGATATTTTTGTCGAAAAAATCTTTTCCCCTTTCTTCCACCGTTTTATATCATATTTGTTATATATGTACATGTATTAGTGTTCATACTTATTTGTTTTGCGTTTATATTCTTATATCCCACCCTTTTTTGTGTGGAAGGCATATCAGCGCCTGCTTTTTGCTATACTTAATTTTAGGAGGTCAGATTGCAAATAAGATAGCAAAGATTTTTGTATTCTTTCGAAGTTTTTTTCTAGGCTTGTCTGACCCCCTTATAATTTTATAATTTTGTTTTGCGTCATTTCCTTCAATAAATGGCATTTTTTCACTTTCACTACTGTTGTTATTTTCTTATTAATCCATCAAAAAACAAGCTTAGTTGACTTGGCTTCGTCTTGCATATATAACAGAGAAACATAAAGCAGCATTGTTAAGGCTAGAAAAAGGGGGCGGGGCCTAATATCACACAAAAATATGACTTTTAAGTATTCCTCATTATACCAGAAAATGAAGAAATAAAATGCAACTTTAAACCGTATTAGCATAATAAACAACAATAAAACTTATCAATGCATTAAAAACAATTGTTAGTTAAATCCCATACAGCCTGGTTATAAACAAATCACCGATCGCTAAGAACTTATATTCCAGAATTTGGTAAAAATGGCGCAATTCATGTGCTGTGAGAGGCAGATCGAGGAATTATGAGGGTTGATCCAAAAGTAAGGTCACAACTTTGATAAAATTGCTATAAATCAACTTAAAGTGACAAAATTACACATGATAAAAGTTTTATTTATTTCAAATCAGACCTGAAAAAATCAAAGAAATATAATGTATGCTTTCCAAAATATCGAATTTTAAACAATGTGCGTTTAGTGTAGTCGCTGCACCTAAATATAACGCCATATGACGGATACGCACCGTCATATTTTTATGCATTTCCCCTTTATTTCATTAAAAAGATGTTTGTGATTCGCAAACGCTTTCACCAGTTCCACTTTTTAAAGAGTTATTGGTACAATTATTCACTCACTCGTTTCATAATTAACCCCTCTGTCATTTTTCAAACAGTAGCACAACAAACATAGAAATTCACATATGCATGTTACTTTATACATGTGTCTTTTTTGACGTCAGACACCATTGAACGTTTCCGTCCGATCTCCTATCATTCGGTATTTTTGTCCTCTGCTGATCATGCAGTGACTAATTACCCGCCCAAAATTGCTGAAACCATGTATTAACTGTAAGTCTGATTAATTAACTTTACTGTCGCTTATGATTTTGAAGCAAAATTGCATAACAACTCGTCGAGCCATTTTTTCCCTTTTCGACAATCTTTTTGTTCAATTCAACAGAGTAAAACAACAATATTTGTTATAACCAATGCCGTCATTTAATTTTCAATTAAAGACTAGAAAATGGCGAGAAGTGTGTCTTATAAAAAAAAAGGAGATTAGGTGCTTTTTTAGAATCTTTTAATGCGTTTGTCTTTTTCATTATAAAAAATATACACTTTAAAACGCGACGTTCCGTTGTGACGCAGTGACACCACCTATGTTCTATGTTTTAAACATTTATAAAATAAATTCAAATAAACATTATTAAATTAAAATTTCAATTTTAATTAGATTTATATTTGTGCATCTTTTGGTATATTATATTTGATAATATGACGCCAAATATAAAAGGTATGGACACTGTGACATTACTTTTGGATCAACCCTGGTATTTAACAATGGAAATCGTTTTATTATTAAACAGAATATTATTTACAGGTTTTAAATAGGCTATAAATACCAGTGTTTATAATTTGTTTAGTGCAATTATAACTTAACTATCGACAGAATGTATTTAATTTGTATCATCGGTCCTTAATGTTTTTTTTTTTTTTTTTTTTTGGCAAGGGTATACACTATAAAGATCTTAACCATATTTTGAAGATAGATAAAGGATATTTTCCTTAACTTGAGCGTGACTTTATAAGCACACAAAATATTTCAAATTGGTAAAAGTCAAACATATTTCGACATGAGCCTATTTACTTGAAATTTTAACTATTAAAACGCGAATTCTATATAAATAGCAGCACTTTTCAGAAAGTTCAAAATATGCAGAAACAATAAATAGCTTGATTTTTGAATTTCAACTAGGATATGCCCTTGTTATATTGAAATTTGTTAATGACCTACATTCAGTGTATGTACTATGCATTCATCACGTGACTGTCCATCGATAGGACCAAACATGAAATAGTACAAAGTGAGTTATACTATGCTATTTCCGTAAGTATTTAAGAACTGTGATAATAAAACTGCTTGTTTAAATAATTTCGGTTTTAAAAAAAATCCTTTTTGCACGTTTATTTTCCGTTGATTTCTCATAGTAGGCCTTAATAGTGCTGCGAAATATGTATATTTTTTACTTTCACCAAATCTGGAAAAAAAATGTAAGAAAACCCTCCTCTCGGTGTATTTACAATCTAACTATCATTTAGTATTATGCGTCCTTCAATGAAAGTCTTTTTCATACTTCTTTTTGTTTTTTGTAATTTTAGATCAATTTAAGTGGCTTCTGGAAGAAAGTAAGTTTTCATCATACCTTATCAAGTTTGATTTGCTGTTTTTTATTTTCAAATTTAAGAAGTAGAAAATAAAAAAAATGATAAGAAAATAAATCAGTTATGCTCTACTTTTTAGCACCTCTGGAGAAACCTTGGAGGTATGATGAATATGAAAATCATGAAGATGATTTATTCTCTCAAGATGTAAGTATATAGTTACTAAATGGATTTTATTCGCACTTTATTGAGCTTTCTAGAAATTTTTATAGATTGTTGATGTCGATGTAGGCTAGGTTTATAAAAAAAAATTGTTTTTTTTTCTTTTTCTTTTTTTATCTTGTATTTTACGTAACTGTCAATTAAGATCAGAACTTAAAAAAAGTTTTAAACAAAATCAGTTTTCATAATATATCAAAACATTTAATCATTTAAATAGAAAATGCTGAGTCATATCAATGCGTCAATCAATATCTATTTTGAAATATAACTGAATATGTAAATATCCCTCATGCATTTATTCCATACCAAAAAATTAAGGAGAACTACTCAATGAATTGAAGTAAAATCCTTGTTAAATTTAAAATACTTAAGTGTAAATTTTGATACATTTAAATTATATCAATGACATGATACCTTCCAAAAGTTGATTTGTTTTTATCTTTTGCAAGACCAAACTTACATATCTGTTATTATCTTATTAGACGATTATTGTACTTACAAGTACATATAACTATACGTCTTTTAAGGTAAATTAATGTGCTTTGAAGTATTTCTCTTGAATCATATAGTCAATACCAACTTCGATTGGCATGCACAGATGATTTAATCCCAAATATTTTTTCATGATTGGCGGAAAATGAGTTTACATGTATTTGGTATAGTATGTCTTGAATATTTCACCACTTCAAAAACGTATCAGCGTATCTACTTTTCATTTAATTTAAAACAAACTCCTCAATGAAACACATTTTTGAACCTTAAAGTTTTAAGGTACAAGCTGTTAAAACTCAAAGTTCATAAACCCTCTGCTTACTCATAGAAAATGTTTCTTTAACTTTTATAATTTACCAAAAGTAAAGTTTATGCTAAATAAAATACAAACAATCTCATCATGGCTTGCGGGTCAAAATTTTGCAAAAAAAGGCACTTCAACTTGACAAATTTATAAAGGAATTATAGGGATTTGTGTCATTAAGAGTTATTTCTCTGATCAGAGTATCAATTAACCTTAAATATTAATTTATCTTTCTGTGACAATGTTTAGATATAAGGGAGAGTGTATATCCTCATGTATGGTTTTTGAAGTTATGCTCTAAAACTTTTAGGTTAGATTCATTTTGAACTCTAATGTTTTATATGTGATTTTTACTCCTTTAGCTAATGTTTTTCACAAGTTTTATCTTTAACTCTGGTTCTGTATTTTAATAAGAGCTGAATTAATCTGGTAAAATTTTATGTTGCATATAAAGAATTAAGACTATATTGTTTGTTCCTGTATAAATATAAACTTCATTTTAACATTTTTTAAGACAAAAGACGGAATATTGGGAAACATAGATTCGACACAGTTTCCAGCAAACTGCCGTTACATCAATCTGCTGGTAGTTGGACTATTTGGATCTGGAAAGTCTTCTTTTATTAACACGGCAAAAACTGTCCTTAGAAATTCTGGTGAAATATCAACAATCGCTGCGGTGTATGGTGAATATTTTGATCCATTAACCGAAAAGGTATTACTTTCTTTTTGTATTCAATTTTAAAGATTAAATATAAGATACAATTCTGTATTTTACTTCTTTTCTGTCGAAAACTGTGTTGCTATATAATTTTGCCATAACTTTTGGAATAAGGAAATATATATTATTCTAAACCAAGTTAATACACCGTTAAAGTCTATGATTGAGGGAATTATCAAGATTCTAGTTCCCAAAGGCCAGGAATATTTCCTGAGGCTCAGCAGAGAGGAAAAGTCATGGTCTTGGGGAAGGAAACTGGAATCTTGCTAATCCCTCAATGATATACTTTTTAACTGCTTCAGTATACCAATACAAGAGTTAAAAAAGTAGAGGATTACGAATGACAGAGAATTAGCTCCCAGACAATCGCACGGGTGTAAGTCAATTAACATATTAGACCGAATCATATGTTAAATCTAGAGAATTAAATGTACGGATAACACGGGAATTAGTTTCCGAAGCAGGGATTATTTCATTTGACTTACACACGGGGATTCGTCTATTCACAAAGCAAAGATTTCTAGGGAAATGTACACATTTTTCTACCTTATTTTGCATTGGAAAAGTCATCAGAAGTATAATGATGATATGTACATAATATGCACAGGAAGGCACTGTGACAAAGCTTTTAGAACAAAGTACGCACACTTAAAAACAATTTCAAAGTGCGTTTAAACTAGAACAACATCAAAATGCACTAATTTAATTTATTTTAAAGTGCGGGATTAGTGAAGATCAACAATTTTTACTATTATTAGACTTAATGCATTTTGAAAAAAATGAAGAAATAAAAAAAAATCTGGACTCATGTTTTAGTAACAGACAGCATTTTAGGAGTTGATCCTCACGTGGCAGGTTCGAATCCCACTCTTGGACGTTTAGACAGGTATGTGGGATGAGACCGTATAACTGAGGTCCCATATCATAGTATACGTAGGTGCTGGCAATACAAAGATCCCTCCCTGCTTAATGGCCCTCAGTGCCGAGTAAAGAACAAAATTTACTGCACTCCATCGGCAAGTCATGGTGTCTGCATATGAGTGGAAATTCTCGAGAGAGACTTTAAACAAAGTATGCCCTTTAGCTGGATTTTGCTTGGGGATTGTATTTAATTTATTAAGTTTTGTATGAATTGCCATAAAGATTGGAAAATACCCATTCTTATGTTTGAAATTTGAATTTCTTATAAACTATTTTCTTAAGAAGTAAAAATTAAACCTGCCACCAAAGATCACGATGAATTGATCCATGCAACAAACCTTGCACAATAAGTTTGTTTTACACTTGTGTCGGAACAAAGTCATGTGGCATTACAAAACTGCTTTATTTTAATATCTGATGTTATTATTATCTCATGTTCACTGCAATTTCAATCAAGAATCACATATTGAAATAATAATCTAGCTCACAAGAAAACGAGTATTTTTAGGGAATTTTAAGTTTTCGGGCAGCTTTGTCATAAACCAATCTATGGACATGTTTTAACATGACTGGTAAGAAGGAGTTATACTTTCTCTCAATAACTTTGAGTTATTGTTATATAGATGAAAAAAAAAAAATGAATTGAAATAAGTTTTTTGTAGGTCAAAAATCGCGCAAACTTTTTCTAAAGATGAGAGACTCAGGGTCATTGGCTGATCTATGCAAAAGTAGCAAATTGATTTTAATGCTTTGACCAACGTAGCTATACAATATCACATACCGTACGCGTGCAATACAACAAAAAAAATGAAAATGTATTTTTTTTTTTTAAATATATACATTTTAATTCAAATAAAATAACTTTTTAAAATTACAAGCAGAGTAATAGTTCGTTTTCAAGAACTTTTAATACTTCTTACTACTTATCAAATAATTTTTTAAAAGGCATTCATAGGCTATATTTCAACCCCTACATCAAACGTACATTTTAGGGACTTAAAAAAATTTAAAAGTAAAACATATTTGGTATTCATCTATAGTTCTTTTTTTTATTTCTAATAAAATACTTTACTTTTTATAACATTTTGCAATACCTATTTGGAACAAGGCAGTTATAAGGCTGTCCGAAGGCTTAAAATGTATTAGAAGTATGCATTTTGTTTTGAGCTAGTTTTTAACCTAAATATTTTATCCTTGCCTGAATTTGCAGCCAACTTGTGATAAGAACGTTAAATAGGTATTACATTATACAACAAAGCATTTTTGTGATATCTCATGACTTTGTTGATCACGTCACGGACATTTATGCTTTTCCTGACTGTTGCACAAAACTGCATCTGCAAGTGCAAAACAACATTTTTGTTAAAGGTTTGTTATATAGATCAATTCATCATTATCTCTTGTGCATAAGTGCTGGGGCAAGTCTGATTTTTAATTATTTGAAAAATATTTTACGAGAAATTCAACTTACCAACATTAGAAGGGATATGTTCCACTCTTCATCGCTATTTATACAATATGGATAAACTACATACAATCCCCAGCAAAATTCAGTGAGAGGACATACTGTAGATTCACACAGAATATCTTCGATTACTCAATCACCTGTGCTAGTCAAATATTAAAACGATACATTAATTATAACCCTGTTTACGGACGTGTGAGAGGAGTGTTTGAAATTCAATCTTTTGCTATTGTATGGATTTGTGCATATTGGAAAGAGAAAGGAATAGGAATATTTAGATTTCAAATCTTCAAAATCATAACAGCACATTAGACTTTATAACATTCCCAAAACTAGAATTCAACAACAACGTAAAAAAATCGATATGCCATGGGATTGATTGATTAATTGTATATTTTTTTAACGTCCCTCTCGAGAATTTTTCACTCATATGGAGACGTCACCGTATGCCGGTGAAGGGCTTCAAATTTTGACCTTTACTTGGCACTCAGGGCCATTGAGTAGTGAGGGATCTTTATCGTGCTAACGCCTTCCGCTGACACGGGGCCTCGGTTTTTAAGGTCTCATCCGAAGGACCCGCAACTTTCACTTCAAAGTGCCGAGCGTATGGCGAAGGAACAGTTGCTACCAATTTTAACGACTAGGTCAGTCGTGGCCGAGATACGAACTCACGACCTCCCGATTAGCGAGGTTGCCGAGATCGCTAAAATTGATTATCGCTAAAAATTAATTGCGTTTTATTTGTAATAGCTCCTTGAATGTGCATTTTAAAATCGCTAAAATAACGTCTCGCTAAAATTAAATTACCAGGTTTTAAGAAAAAAATCGCTAAATTTGCGTCTCGCTAAAATTTCCACTTATACGGTATTCAGTGACATGACGTCATACATGTATGCTATTACGAGTCTGAATTCATATGTAGATAGTTAAGAGAAGATACTATACAGTTTGAACCGTTTCATATTTTTGGACAGCCTTATCCTAAATGCGAAGACAGTCACTGTAATTTTCATAAAAGTCTATAACTCAGAACCAGCTAAAGTCACGTCATCATCGAAAAACTATCCAACCAGGTTCAAATTATTATATATCATATATTTCAATGAGCGCTGTAATTGAGTAAGATTCGTTCAGTTTTTTCCTTATTTCTCTCTTTTCTCAAATTGAACCAAAACCTGATTTAATCTTGATTGATTTTTATTTTGAGTCTCTCACAAGAACAACCTCAACCTTATTACAAATATTCTCTGGTTATGACCAATTGTAAAATTTAACATTATCCTGTCCCTTTGATTTCAATTCATACTTTTTGTAATCAAACTTTCAAAATAAGTAAAACGCGGTGATAGCGACCACGATTAAGAAGGTTTGATTCTGAAATCAAAAGTATAACAAATTTTTTACCGAGTATATTTTTAGGATTTACACACATAGCCTTTTTTTTAAATCAAAACAAAACTTGGGTCAATGCGCTTCTTTCTGGTGCCTCAGAGCATTATGTATGACCTTTTGTCACTGTTAATACGTCTTTCACATCAGTCAATTTTTTAAAGTTTTTCCTCCAATATTTTAGTTCAAATAAATTATGGGAATAAACAGAGTCTTATTTCATTTTAAGTGGACATTGAAATGACAATGTGACAATGAAAAAAATTCAAAATTACAAAAAAACTTGTTTAATGTTTTTACTTTTTTCACTCAAAGTAGTTTAATTCTTCTTGAATTAAAAAAAAAAAAAAGCAGAAAAATCATCATCGATGCAAATCACGGCCAAAATGTACGATCCCCTCCCATTCTGGCCCTAATTGAATGAGAAGAGAATTTCTCGTCGCTTATTAAAATATTGACAAATGCGAGTCAAGCATTGTCGGATAATGAACTTTGATATGACCTTTCAATATCCAATCGCATTGTACGAAATATATCTTGTATACTGCTGATGTAAATTACTTAAATATCACTTACCTGCCTTTGACTGAACATTATGTATGTATGAGAGACGGAGCTAACATATGATAAGAATGAATCAAAAATAAGAATGGGTGAATAACAATGTCATGTATTAAAAAATACGAGATCTCTATTTTTCATCTTCCTGTTTGTTCTATACGGCACAGGTATAGTATATACAAAGGTTTAAAACTTATGAGCCAATCCATGTAAGTAAAGAATATTTTAAATCGATGGAAAACTATTTAACGTGTTCGAGCTCGGTAAAAACATGCTACCTGTAAGTCACGTGACGGAATATTGTATTCACAAAATTACTTGACGAAAAATATTACGTGGTGAATTATAATATTCAACAAGTCACAGGCCTTTGTTACAACAGATAAAACGAGTGTAAGATGAAGTTTTTTTTTTTCCTCTTTTTAACCATGAGCGCATGTTTGTCTATAAATCTCCTTTGAACACAACATAATTGATACAAATATACAAGTACAGTTGAAAGAAGAACAATAGACAAACATGCGCTTACTATGTATTAAGTAAGCAGAAAAGCTGGCGTCCTCATTATCGTACGGAAATTGAAGAACTTGTAATGACCCCTGCCTTAGTAAACAGATTCGTACATCATTAATAAATACTTTTATTCATTGTAATTAAG